TTGAATCTCACAAGTTATTTCTACAACTGGACATGAACCATTACTGGGATCATGAGTGTCCCAACAGTATTGAATCTCACAAGTTATTTCTACAACTGGACATGAACCATTACTGGGACCATGAGTGTCCCAACAGTATTGAATCTCACAAGTTATTTCTAAAACAACTAAGACATGAACCATTCCTGGGACTATCCCAACAATCTAGAATCTCACATATAATATACTGGCATCATGACTAACCCAACTGTCATAAATCTCTCATGTAATTTTTAACACAAGACATGAACCATTACTGGGACTGTCACAAGAATATTGAATCTCACATGTAATTTCTAAAACAAGACACAAACCATAACTGGGACTGTCCCAAGAGTCTTGAATCTCACATGCAATTTCTAAAACAAGGCATAAAATTTGACTGGCATTATTTTCTCCAAGAACTTCAGCTTTCCTCCACCACCAAAACCTGGCACGTCCTTAAATGACCCTAACTGTTAATATAATACGACATAAAACTCAAACAAACAAACAAACATCATGATTGTCCCAACAGTCTTGAATCTCACAAGTAATTTTTAACACAAGACACAAACCATAGCTGGGACTGTCCCAAGAGTCTTGAATCTCACATACGATTTGTGAAACAAGACATGAACTTTTACTGACATCATGACTGTCGCAACAGTCTTGAATCTTGCATGTAATTTCTAAAACAGAACATGAACCATTACTGGGACTGTCTGAATAGTATTGAATATTGCAGAACGGTATTAATCAACAATTATCCATGTGTGTTGTTGTATGTGATTGCAACATGACTGATTAGTCTAGGTCCGTTGTTTGATCAGAATAATGATATTGAGATAAGCAAGCGTTCAAAACATCTAGATTTTATTTATTCACTGTAACAACATAATGGTCACTGCTGGTCAAGTTAACTTGTTAATCTCATTAGCCTGGCAATAACTGTATCAGTGGCTAAGTGGAGTCAGATTTTGCCCTTCATCATTGAAATTATCGTAAGTTTGGGGCAGCAAAGGGGGTAATAGAAGACTTATGACCAGGAGTAGTAGTGAGCCGATCATCGATTATAATCAAAAATCAATCGATTGGAAAAAATTTCAGCGGCAATTGGTTATAAACAAACAAATTCAAAGAATTGTGCTCCCCGCTTTCAGGTATTATTGATTGGAGATATGAAAGCCTGAAAGCATATGAAAATCTTCTTTCATTCATTAGTTATGACCAAGGTTAAAGTTTTTGAAAAGTAGGTCAAACTTGGGGGTGAACGTCATGGGTTGAAAAATTATAGTGCATTTTAAAAGGTCGTGTCATAGGTAATGTTTATGTGAAATATGAAAGCCCTATCTTCTGTCGTTCAGAAGTTATGACCAAGGTTAATGTTTTCGTGACAGACAGACAAATGAGATTTAATGTAGCGGGGCACAAAAATCATAATTGAATTGTTGTAATTTCCTGTATTCCAGAATCGTTCTCCGACATTGTTTTTCTTCATTAGTCCACGGGGTCCCATGGTTGCTTTATGTATTGTTATAGCATTAAAGCACCTGAATAACCCGTACGCAATAAAAAAAAAAGGAAGACCAATCGTAAAATCATGATCCTGGTGCCAGCTCTTCTTGAGTTTGTTATTTTGGGTTCAGAAAGATAAAAGATAGCCATCCAAACAAGGAGAACCTAGAGATGAACTCTGCAGTGTGCCGCTTATTTCTGAAAATGTATGCGAATTAAGTGGATGTCATATGAGTACGTCGGCAAAACATGTGGCTGATTAAATTCGCTCCAAGGTTTATCGTTTTGAAATGTGAATGTGTGTGCCAGTTTATGCAGTAACTGTAATATTTATATTTGTATGCCCCCGCCATAAAATGGGAGGGGGGCCATATAGTATTAGCCATGTCCGTCCCGTCCCGATTCAATGTAAACACTTTGCAGTTTCATTCTTTAACAGACTTTGATGAAACTTTATACAAAGGTCAAGTATGAGTATACCTCGGACATTGCAGTGTTTCCGGGCTCCAAGGTCAAAGCCAAGGTCACTGTTGCTATATATAGAAATTGTCAACTGATTCAATTTCAACACTTTGCAAATTCATTCTCATAGATTTTGGTCAAACTTTATGCAAAGGTCAAGTATAAAAAATTATCAAAATACTAATCAACTTCAATCTTTTATGAGTTTCGGTCAAACTTTAGATAAAAGTCAAATACGGGGTATGCCTCTGACATCCTTGTGCTTCAGGGTGCCAAGGTCAAGGCCAAGGTCACAGTTGCTGTATAGGAAAAGTCATCAACCGATTCAGTGTCATCACTTTAGCTACTTCATTTCTTAATAGATTCTGCTGAAACTCATACACAGAATACTTCAGACATCATTTTTACGCCCCGCCATAAAATTCTTGGCATATAGTGTTTCCCATGTCCGTCGCGTCATGTCACATCCCCTTTAGTCCCGTCCCTTTGCGTACTGAAATTTCTAGTTGTTTTAATATTTGTTTTCAAGACCGACTGACATCAGCTTATCTTTACAGTGCTCCAGTTTAGCCGCATACAAGCGTATTTTACGCATTAAGTTAATTATGAT